TGGAGTGTTATATGAATAGGCAGTCAATCGCAGCTTTTCCAAAATGAAATGAAGAGATGATGATGGATTGGCCCCTTCCTGCCCATGCCTGATGCTGCATTGGAGACCTTCAGAGTTGGTTGCCTACTTCAGCAAAGCATGTGAAGCGCAAGGGTTCCCACCACCGCCCTGCCCCGAGCTCCGTGGAGTGCCCGCCTGCGCCAAGCATACCTTGGGAATGTTTCCTCCGCTCGAGGCCAGGATCATGACAGCGGCCAGGACATCCACCACCTCCTTGGCAGGGCTGCCAAAGGATTTGAGCTCGCCCAGGGATGCCTTGTCCAGGGAGTTGAGGGCTGCCTCCGCCTCCTGCAATGCTCAGGGAAACACTGTGAGCAAGCACTGTGCTGAAAAGAGCCGGCTGAGATATAGAGGGAGCCATCGTGAAGGGCAAGAAATCTCTTCAGTGCTGTAGACACCCTATAATTCCTGATTGAGACACCCCTGGCACCTTGATGATGGGCTCAGCGGTGGCCAGATCGGCAGCACACTCTGTCTGGAAGGCGGTGACCTCCCGCTGCAGGGCCGCTGCCTCCTCCTCATCTGCCTGCGACGCGCCCACCGCCTCGTCCACCACCGCCCTCTCCCGCCTGATGGACTCGATGAGCTCTTGGGTCGCCGCCTTCTTCTCCTCCACCACGACCGTCTCCTTGGCCAGTTCTCCCTGCAGCACCAGCACGGCCTCTGCAGCCTGCCGGATCTTGTTCAAACCTGACCATGGGGTGAGGGTATGGATGATTGAAAGGTTTGGAATCTACATCCGGCCAGAAGCCTGTGGTGGCTCTCCACCCAGTCAAAGCTGCAACAGCCCACAAAGTCACACCATTCTGAAGTCTTGTCTTGGATGCCTGCAGCTCAGCATGTTTCTTTGCCAGCAGTGACTTGAACAGATTCACAAACTCGAGGAAGGACTTGGAGGTGGTGTGGTTGTGCTTGCCATGCTGTGACAGGTATCTGCCAAAGCTCGAGGGGGTTGAGGAGGATTTTTGCGTTGGCATTCTGAGCTGGCAGTCCTGCAGCTCTGGAACTTGTCATCAGGTCAGTGGAATGTCTGCACACACCAGCCACACACCGGCCCAGCCTACCTGTCGTTGCAGGCGATGACGGCAGCGTGTGCAGCTGCCATGCACTGCGCAACCGAGTGTCGCAATGCCTCTGCTTCCAGCGCAGGCACATCGTTCAGTGAGTGCTCAGCAACTGCAGGGTGTAGGGTCATGAGGTTTAATCTCCCGGCAGTCATTCACATGATCTGCTGAGTGGGAGGAGAATGTGTGCAGCATATTCGCACGCCAGAGGGTCAAGCACTTGAGGCGCTATCCTCATCTTTCCCAGTCCCCACCTGTGAGCAATGCTGATTCTGGCCAAGGCCTGAACCAATTGAGAATGGGGATGGAAATCAAGGCTGGGAAGCGCTGTGCCCAGCCCCGGAACTGTGGATTGACTGGGCTGAAACAGAGCACAAGATGCAGGTTGTCTTGAACCTGCCAAGGAAATGGAAGTGGGTGCAGCATGGGGGCCAGATGATGACGCTGCACATCAGTCAGCCACCATGACGAGGCACCACCCTGTATGGCTACATGACAGTCATCCAAGTGTTCTGATGCCCCTCTGCGGCAGGATCATGCGCTCAACACAGCCCCACCCGCTTAGTGAAGAAGTCCCAGCAGTTATCGGCTGTGTCGAGCAGTCCTGATGCCTTGACCTCAGCCCGCACCTGCAGGCAGGGGATGTATGGATATACCATCCGTGATCCCTAACCCTAGAAAGTTTTTCCCCCAGACACTCTTGAGAAGGGATCTGGAGCCCCGGCAACTGAAGTCCTGAATCTCAGCAGCCTCCCAACCTCCTCACCCCATCGCAAAATCCCTCCTTGTCTTCTTGGCTGCAGAGTGAAGCGGGGCTCCCAGACGTCATGAGATCAGATATGTGCGCCAGGAAGTCCTCCTTTGTCACGTGCCCATCGTTCAGGAGGAATGCCACTCCCTTGTTCTTGACACCCGCCTTTCGACACATAGCCAAAATGTCCTTTCGCGGAGGGGGGTGAGGGAGTGAGACTTTTGAGCCTGCAACAGACTTGACTCCAATGTCTGCAACCTGGAGAGTCGTTATCTCAGCCCTTGCTTCCATTCTCACCATTTTGAACTCTGGGTCACCGTAGGAGGAGGTGAGGGACAGCTGCATCGCCTCCAGACCTTGCATGTGGGCAGCCAGACGAGCCAAGCTTTGCTTCCCTGCAGGGTGCCAGGAGCGGCACAGAGGGATGGTGTGGGTGGTGATGTTAAACCCCTGCAGGAGAGTGCAACCGATGTTGCATGCGCATCTTCAGGGAGTCCATGTAGATCGCAGGGCTAAGCGACACCAGCCAGCGGCCTTCTGCGCACTCCCCTCGCACCTGATCCACCCACCCCGACCAGCATGATGTGGCCCCCAGGCCGGTGCAGGGCTCTGCAAATGCGAGCTATATGCTGGACTGCATCCTCAAACATTACCTGTGGTTGGGACCAAGCATGGGGGAGGAGTGCCGTTGAACTGGCTTGCTAGTCGGAAGCATTGCCCACGATACCTCCCCTCCGCTGCTCCAGGGATTGCACTGTGGCACATTTGTGGTGTTCTCAGCACTTCCAAGGCCCCCTTCAGCACAAGTTTGTCCCTGGGCCCATCCTACCAGGTTCATGGCTGGGTGTGCTTCGTTATATTCTGCTAGGCCACGCTCCATCGTGGCACAAAGCCTGGTCATGTCGGGGCAGGGAGAGTATGCCATCCCCTCTTCAACCGCCGAACCGCTCTCTGGCGCAGAGAGGCAGTACACCGGCACTGGTGGGACCTGTGGCGACGAGATGGGCACTGACATCGAGCAGAGACGGATCTGGGCGGGGACATGCCCTGTCCTTGCACCCTCCACAGCCGCAATCGGGGTACTGTTGCGCCTCGGAACAAAAAGATAGGACTTACGCCCTACCTCTGCAAAGGGCAGGAAGTGACGGCGGAGGACCTTCTGACACAGGTCTTTGAACATCATCTCATCCCCGCTCGTGATCTGTCAAAGTGGTGGAGGATTGGATGCTGTGACAGGTACCGTCCCAATGCTTTTTAATAATGGATAACATGCCAGCAGGACGCCACCCCAGGTCAGCAGATGCTTGCCCTCCCATGCTCACCAGCCTGTCCGCGTACACTCGTTCGCATTCGTGTCGCCAGAGTTGCAGCAACTGCAAGACAAAATCAGAGCAGGGATACTGACAACCAATGACTGTGTTCTTGCTGCACAATAGCCTGTTTGCCTCCCCGATCCATGCCAGACAAAGCGCACAGACTATCCTCTTGCTGTCAGATCACCTCAAGGACGTTGGTCTGGAGGTTTGGACTGGCCAATCGCATCCCGCGAGCAACTCCCACCAACTCCCTCAGGTTGAAGTTGTAGTGGAATTTGACAGAGCTGCAACAGGGGCGATGGGGTCGGGCTTTACAACGTGCAGCCTCGGGAAGTTGGAGGCGTACACCTCAAGAGCAGTAGTAGCACTGACAAACGCCTTCAATGTAGACAACCCTATGCCAAGAAACCTCACTTAAGCCTCCCCTAAGCACCCACTTGGGGAGCAGGGAGGACTGAACAGCAGCATGCAGATCCACCATGGCAGTTGCCAGGGGACCCGACACTGCCTCAAGCACAGGCTTCTTGAACCCTCCAGAGAAATGTGGTTTGGTCAGCTGGATGAAAATAGATCTGCAAGGGTGTGGTGGGATGTTGCACTTCAATGCACTTTCAGTTTTCCTCACACATGATGCACTTTGATGGTGCATTTTCTGTGCTGCACACCATATTTGGGCAGCCGGGGCTACAGAAAAACGGCGCCCTCGCCCCCTTGCAAGCCCACACATGCTCATCCGACACCCCACTCACTGTGCACTGGCTGGCGCAGGGCAGGTCACAGCAAAGGTTGCAAAGTGACGCTGTAGGCGGGGCGTGATGCAGCCTGAGCCGGCTGCCGGGTCCATGCACGCCACATAACCGGTGTGCATGATCTCCTTGGCTGCGATTCGTGCTTTGTCATACCTGGCAAGGCCAGGGACGAGCAGGTATGTGCTGAACCTCTTGGAAGAGTTGCACGTGCAAAAGAGGGATAAGGGGGCAAGCCTTACAGGCTCCATGTGCTCTCTGACATGGACCACTCCTGGCAAGCACACTGCTGCTCATTCATGATTCTGCAGCATGGCACAGAGAGCCCCCCATCAGCAACTTACCAGCCACCGTAGTCTATGCTTTGACGGATGAGCTCCAGGGCCGACTGGGTTTCATACTTGTCAACAATCGGCATGTTGACATTGTCCAGCCAGTAGATGAGTCGCTTTGACCCTCGAGGCCCATAGCGCATCCCCGCCTTCTTCTCCAGTGGCCGCTCCAGGATGGTTTGCAGGGATGGGCCGTCGTGACAGGAGTTGAGCGGCAGCCGGTTCACCATAACACCCTGGCCGTCCATACTCTCCAGCGCACGTGCCATCACCGCTGATTTCCCCGTGCCTGAAAGTTGAGGAGGGGTGAGAGGAGGACGAGGTGATGGAGGAGGGGGTGCTTGGAAATGTGCCCTGAGATCATCCTGGGGTCAAAAGTAGAACAAGTTAGCGAGGGAAGGTGGCTGATTGCTGCCCCTTGGTCAGGCGAGGGATGCTTTCCGAGGCTCGTCCTACTCGTTGCTGCTCATGGGCAAACCTCCAAGACATCACCACTGCCATGCAAACATGTCTGGGCAGTCCCAGCCCCAGCATCGTTCCCCACCTGCAGGACCAACGAGCAGGACGGCATGCCCGGCCTTCACCAGGGTCTCAGTCAACCAGCGCAGCCGCACAGTATCCACCGTTTCCACAAACTCGGGGGTCTGCACGACCTGAATTGCGTCCCTCGCGGTCAGAGGGGGGCCTGGCATGCTGGCAGGGATGCGCTGCGTCCAGGGCACCATTTGCCCGCTGACATTGTCCATATAGTAGTCGAAGACAGTGCCCTGGGCAGGTGTGAGGGACCAAGGCAGTTAATGTGCGATTCCGCCATGGTGTCAGGAGGCCAGAGGGGCCAATCGTGGGAGAGGTTTGGACTCCAGAGGCATCATGAGGGGGTTCAAGAGGGCTCCTCCTGTCATGAGACACACCTCGGCGGGCAGGGCGACGCTCTTGAACTCCCCGCGCCACCACTTGGAGAATGCAGCCTGGCTGTCGACAGCCTGAGAGGGGATGGGGGCATGAGCCAGCACTTTGAATGGTATTTGTGAGAGTCTTGACAGGAGTGAAGCTCGATGTTTGTTCAGGGGTGCTGGTTGGTCCTGCCATGGGGTCTGCACGCTGCACATTGTACCAAACCTCCCAAGTCACCCAAGTGCACGGTGTCTGTCCGGCTAAGCACACCCCTGTCCACGCTGCCTCACCCCATCACAGGAGAGGGCTCCCCCGAACGCCCAGATGCAGGCCATCACAAAGTGAGCCTCCACCCTGAAGCGACTCGGGTCTTCCTCGCTGGAGGGTAGACTGGCATCCAGCAGCTGTTGGGAGGCAAGTGTGCCATCATGCAGACGCTATGTGCATGGCAAGAGTTCCTGGGTCAAGATAGGTCTCAAGTGCACTCTGGAGTTCCAGACACTCTCACCTTGCAGAGAGTTTGAACCTGGTTTGCAGGAGACATGGGAGTGACATAACGAAGATTCTTGGCACAGAACTCGATCGTCTTCTCCACATACTTGCTGAGGTAGGGAGGTTAGACGAAACCGAGTGAGCTCGTGCGGATAATACGTTGCTGCCGGCTGGACGGCTTCATGCAGACAGACAGGAGCACGAGAATCCTCAACATGCTCTCATCCCATTCCCCTGGCTCGCCTGATGAGAGGAACCAGTTGCGGCTTGAGCGCCTGGTGCTGTGTACTGTCCAGCCAGGAGACAAGCAGAGGACTCCACCCAATATCAGTGTCTACAGAACGGGATGTGTATTGAGCCAGGAATTGAGATGGTTGGGAGCATGGCCAGAAGTTGCATTCCCTCCGTCCAGCACCTGGTGCTACACACCATTCATGTAGATGACCCCGCCACGGGAGACGGTAGCAGGGGAGCAGTAGTTCATGTGGTTAATCTCCAGCAAGAGCCGCATGGTGTCTGTCAATGGAATGCGCTCATTGGAGGCCAGCGACAGCATCTTGTTATCATCCTGCAAGAGTTGTGAAGATGGTGGACATGCATCATGCTCTGTGACAAATCCATGCAGAGGGTTGCTTGGAGAGTGGCCAGGAGACAGTGGTGACAGCGCGTCCTACATCTTGGGATGATCCAGCCCTTCAATGCTTCGGGAGCTACAATCCCCACCAGACTTGCCATGACAGTGTTCATGCTTTCTATCCACTCCGCATCAATGTCGCCGTCCAGCACAATCCATTGGTGCCGGCACGTCTTGTTGCTGGCCATTTCTCGAAAGATGCTTGATATCTGTGGGAAATTGCACCGGGGCATGTCAAAGGTCTGAGCAACGCTATTCTACACAACCGCTAGTCGGCCTCATCTCTGATATCGAGCCGGCGATGAATGGGTCGGCTCTAAGCATGCAACACATATCCCCCAGCAACTCACCAAGCCCTCCTTCCATTCGCGCGTCTGGGGATGGATGAAGCCATACAGTTCGTTCCGTGTCACAGATTTGGGGTTGATAGGCTTCCACACCTATGGCATGGGGCAGACTTGTCCACGGTGGGCGTGGTCCATGGGGCGAGCACAATCAAGGCGCCTGTGGAGGTGAGACTGCAGAACATGGCAATTAAAAGACCCTGCAATGTCAACCGAGCAGAAGACTCACAGTTTTCTGGCCCATTGCATTGAGCGTCCGCGCAAGCGTCCTCCAGACAGCACTTTTCCCACAGCCAGCGTTACCCAGCAAGAACACACTCCAGCGAACCTGTTGGGATGATTACATGTGTAGGGAGGAGGGTTGTCAGGTGGGGCCATAATGACGAATCAATGGACATTCCCATCCCACTCAAGACATGCAGCGGAAACTTGCAGGCCAGTACTCACAGAGAATATCTCCTTGAGTTGCGAGACTTTCAGGCAGAAGTTGGGCTCTGGTTGGTAGCCCAGCTCACGAGCGCACACCTTGACCTACATGATATGAGGAAGGAGTATGTCAACAGAGCAGGAGTGTGAAGTGCCCTGTTGCACCTGGTTGGCGCCGTCTTGTGTACTGTCGGCATCAGGGAATGGTCACTATGGAGTTGGGGCGGAGTATCCTCTACCCCTTTCCCAGCCCTGTGTCAGACCACACCCTTTCCCTTCACCCCCCTCACCATGCTCTCAAATTCCTGGTCCACGCTTCGTGGAACTGTGGATGGCAGGGATGGGAAGAGGTCCCCCAGCAGTCCGTTGAACACGACCACATCATCAGCCGTGAGTTTGCCGAGGTTGAAGTCCCGTAGAGCCCGCAGCAGGACCTGTCACACCAAAGGGGGTTGGCACAGACACGCCAGATTAGAGTATTCCCTGACCAGGCTCTAAGGTCACGGCCCACCATAAGCAACGGAACTGCCAGTGAACGGAGTGTAGGTCATCCCACACCCTTCCACACCCCATTCCCCCCCAAGAATCCTTCACCACACCTTTTCCTCACTCAGCTCTGGTGCAGCCCGCTTCATGCCCCCAGCGACATACAGGGTCGTCTTGATGGCACGCAGCTTCCAGTCGTAATGCTTGGACTTGCTGAGGAGGTCCTCGCACAGTCTGCACAGCACAGGGAGAGTGCAGTACATCGACGTCTGTGCTAACCTGGCCAGCAAACCTTGGACTGATGTTCCCAGCTCATGCCCGGTGCAGTCATAAAGACAAACCCCTGCCCATATTACTTGTACAGCGTGATGAACTTCCGAGCCAGGGTCTTGGCCTCCTGGAACCCCTCAGCCATCAACATTATCTCGCAGATGAGGGTCAGATCTGGCGCCGCCATGGAGACGGGGCGGAAGAGGGCCTGCATGGGCGTTGTGATAGGAAGGTGGGTGGAATGCGAGAGAGCCGGCTTGAGCGGGGCAAGCGAGCAAGTCATTGACCCCATTCTCCAATGCTTGCTGGGCGCACTTTCAAGGATTCGGGAAGCTCAGCACGGCCTATGTATCCTGGGTTCATTGTGATGAAGGCCATGGCAGAGTGGCGAAGGGGGATCTCTGTGCCCTCAAAAACGAATCTGTCTTTCTTCGCCCTCAAGGCATCCAGAAGAGTCTGCGGTGTGTTGAAGTATGTGGTGTGTGTGGAGAGCAGCTGCCACCATCTGGTCGTCAAGACAACCTGGAACAGACATGAGCAGGCTGCATAGTGCTGATTGGCTCCCAGCATGCCCACTCTCTTCTTCTCCTCACCTTGTACTGGGTAGAGCAGACTGACAGGACAGAGACTGGAATCCGATTGAACTCGTCAAAGCAGCCCCAGGCGCCTGTTTGATAAAAGGAGAGTGTTGAGCATTGCGACACATCGCAGCGCAGGAGTCCTAAGCTTCCAAAGTTAGTGGGTGATACCACCCCCCTTGAGCTGGATGCTCTTGCAGACTGTGCAAGCGGAGGAGTGGCTGCCATCCGTGACCATCCTAAATCTGCCCAAGAGCGAGGCAGAGCTCCCCACAGAAGCCATACCTGTTTGCGCCAGGCCCTTGTAAATCTGCCCCATGGCCAGGTAATCCATCTGATCCGAGCAGTTGAACACATAGCACTGCACCCCAAGCGCACGGGCCAGATCCTTGGTGGTCTCCGTCTTCCCCGTCCCTGCTGGTCCCGCCGGGGCTCCGCCTGCGGGATGGGAGTGGTGCGAGCCATGGTGGGTTCCTAGGTCATGGCTGCCAGGCAGCTGCCCCAGGCCTCCGGCTGCATGCTTACCAAGGTGCAGCCGCTGGGCCTGGGTCAGGGTGATGTAGCAGCGGTCGGTCAATGGGGTGATGCACAGGCACCCACAGTTGCCAATGTATTCATAGCCGTACTCGATGTCAGCATCACAGATGGAGACCTGGGTGAGATGCGACTGGATCAGCAGAACGTGCCAGGGACATGGGCACAGAGACCATATATACATGTACATATGTGTATAAACATAAACCCTCCAGCTGGCCTTTCCGTGGCATGTCCTGCTGCACACCCAAGGTCACTCCATACACAGTCACTGCGCCGGGACCCACCATGCACTCCTTGGACTGGGGAGACTGGTAGTATCGCAGCTGGCTCTGCCACTGGAAGGCATTCACAGAGTCGACCTTCTCCTCGATCAAACGCTGCACAACATCCCTTGCATGGACATCCACCGTGCAGAGGGTGATCAGCTTCTGGCGCTCGCTGGGGGTCAGCTTGCCATTGATCCTGGCGATGAGCTCCGACACCTGTGCCTGCAGCTTGGCATGGAGTTCCTGCGGGGGGGGTCAATGGCAAATTGCGTGAAATGTCTGTGCTGGGGCTCATGAGGAGCCCACATGTCCACCAGGATGAGCACATCATGTCCTGCAAGATCCCAATCTGCCTACGGGCACGAGCCCTGGCTGAGCGGTGAGTCCTGCATGAGCTCAGGGCATGCCACTGGTATCTCCTTCCTCACCTTGAGGGCATTCTCATTGCCATCCTCGCGAGCATCAAATGCTGCGTCCACCTGCATGGCACATGGGGTAAGAGCAGGCGTCGTAACCGTGTGACCGTACGTAAGGCACCGTTTCCCATGCGAGAAGCCACCAAGCTCTTGCGCATCCCAGGCATGATCTGCAATGATCTCGACCGACCTCGTGTGTATAGTACGTCCGAGAGACTGTGATGGTGGTCTGTGCCGAGTGCTCAAAGATCCATCTGTCCCTTGCAAGCTCGTCATAGGCTGTCAGCAGGAGGGCAAAGGGACTGCGGATGAAGCAAGCATTGGAAAGGAGGCGACTCGCGGTGAAATGCCTGGCAGGGATCCGACGCAGCCACACTTTCCACGAGTGAGCAGGACATGATGGTAACAGCTGACCCTCACCACAAACTATGCACTACGCACTCTGTATGCCGAGCTTGTACTCGGAGCTCATTGCTTGCTTCATGCTATCGACCAGGCGCTGCAGCCAGACCTGCAGCCGGGCCATGTCTAGAGTTGATGCAAAGCGCAGTAGGATGCTGATGACACTGCACTGGAGGTCATTCGGCCCCCTCTCCAAGTATGCTCACCTCAACCGGCCCAGAACAGGCACACGGCTTGGAGAAGGTGACAGTCTCCCCTTCTCCGGACACCATGGCCGTTGCAAGGCTAGAGGGAACCCCAGCGGCATCCCTCGCAAACTCCAGCCCATGAATGTTGTCGAATATCTTGGGAAGGTGCCTGCGGCAGCATGCAAGAGTCGAGCTGCTCGCATCTCTTATGAAGGGCCTAGAGGTCAAATCAAAACCAGTCAGACAGATCTGGGAAAGGCATGACCAGAACTCAACCTGACGATGGCTTGCGGCTGAGAGGCATTGGCCAGAATGTCCAGGAGATCGGCCGGGGCAACAAAGTAGAACCGGGGGAACGCCAGACGTTTGGTTTCCAGATAATCCTGAAGCAGTGTTTGAATGAGCGGGGGAGGGAACAAAGGTCCTTGAGAGTGTTGCTGCAGGATGACATTTCCTGCGGCAGATGCAGAGCCAAAGCCTTGACCCAAGCACACAGTCTACCAGGCAGTGCACAGCTAGGACTGGATCCTTCCATGTAGAACACCCCAAGACCCGCCTGCAGCGCTTTGCTGCACAGTTCTAGCTGCACCAGCATTTCATCCAGAGCCTCCTGCCTCCCAGGAACGCAGCACAGCTCCAGAACAAGATCGTTCTGGGTTGCCGCTGCCATGAGCCCCTGTCCGCGCATGCTCAAAGGTGTTGAAGACCCCAGAAAATGATCAAGGACCAGAGCACGACATATTCAGTGCACACCCCCAGAACAAGCAACAGCCCTCGGCATGATCAGTGAATATCAAACTATGCCAGAACCCACCCCCAACTCTACCTCCAGAAACTCACAGCAAAGGATTCATGGACAGCCAGGAATCGTGCAGTGTCCTGAGGCATGCGGGATCTGATGTCCTCACTCCCTCTGAATATATTCTCCAGCGACTGGGGATGGAATGTGGGAGGGATGGCAGGCTTGGCTGAAGTTGCTGGTTGTCATTCACAGGGACAGAGCCTGCTCAAAACTTGCTCGTCTGCAACTCAAGGGCACTCTACCTACACAACATACGCCACAGCATGGAGCACCCCACGCATGCACCTGCCAGAGGCGCTGCACATCCGTCCAGGAGGAGAGCACCGCATCTGTGGTCATGAGGCGCTGCTGCCACGCTTGCACAGCGCCCTGGAATGTGACATCCCCCTGCGCCGTGCGTGCATGGGCTTGTAAGAGTCTTGGGGGGGAAGTGTGGGCCAAGGCTGTATGTTCATGCCCCCTGCCACCCTGACCCCCCCAAGCTCAGCTCTCCAGACTCGTCCACATTGAACCCATCAGCCCCTCACCAGAACAAACTTGCTGGACGCAAGACCCTGCAGCGTGAGGGTGTCGTTCTCAAGCAGCTCAACCACCGCATCTGCAACGGTCAGCAGGGCAACCCCCTGTCCCGGCTTGTCGACAAATGTGGCGCGCTGCTCGGCCCAATTGGAGGCCACCTTGGCGAGTGCCTGTGGGAGTTCAGTGTGAAGAGGGGTGTCAGGTGTACTGCTTTTTTTGCTGCACAGTTTGTATGCACGACCAGTGCCCACAGGCCCCGACTGCGGCACATGTGTAAAGTCTCCCAGCACATCCAACTCCCACTCACCATTTCGACCACCACCTCCCTCTGCACTTGCTCCAGGACCTCCTCGCACTTCGCAGCATGTCGGTGGAGTTTCAGATCTAGCACTTCACCCAGCAGGGTGCCGGTCTGTAGCTCAAAGCGAGCACCAATGGCCTGCATGTGGGATGGAACGCATTCTGTATGAACAAGCTCAAACCCAATTTTGAGGACTGACACGCAATTGGACACCAGCCTTCCTGCAATGAGAATAAAGCACATGTAGGTCAGGGGTCCTTGGCAGCTGACGGCTCCTGATCCCAGATGTCCAGCGACTCACGCCCTTGCCTTGGTGAGTTGGAGCCAGTGCTTGGGTCGCATGGCAGGGTTGTGCAGGTTTTGCAGGAGGGGCAGCATGCTCAGCAGCGTTTTCAAGATCTCCTCCAGCTGCAGACAGGCAGGGTATGCCCTGACCTATACACTCGGCAGGAGTTTGGGGGCAACGGGGTGGTCGGGCGAGGTCCTGCAACGCCTTTGTCACAGCCATCAGCAGGGGCCAGGCAGGACGGGTGCAGACAGATGAGGGCTCCAGACAGCATACCGTCTTGCTGAGGCTCTTCAATTCTTTGCTCTGGGCCTTGCACATCTCACCCTGCAGTTCATTGGATGCAGGGTCTGGGATGCAGTCCGGGAGCCGCTGGATGTTGAACAGGATTCCTCATGACACACCATCGCGCGTTGTAAGGCCACCAACTCAACCAGAACTCTCACACACCAGACTCTCAGCGTCCACTCCAGTCCAAGACTGGGCCCTCCACTCCTCGTGGGAGCTCAGGAAACGGGCAATCATGTCCCACATGCCTCTCAAAGCGGTTGCCTCACTCTGTAGGATGAGGGCGAGGGCTTGATGGAGCACTGCTTCTTTGTGTCTGGCATCCCACAGAACGAATGAACAGGAGACTTCAGCCCCTTGCAGTCTCCTGCTTGCATGGCACCCACCACCCACCTTGCAAGCTGACAAGGAGGCCAAAGGTTCGTATGGAAGGTCCAACAGGTCATGCCGGGCTTTGAGGGAGCGGCCGACACCCATGAGACCCTGGAATCGGGTGGGAGGTGGGCTTGTAGGGCGCAAGTGCGCATGGCGTGATGATCTGACAGACGAGGACCACCCATCCACTCACAGGCCGCACCTCAGGTCCACCATCATGCTCGAGCCCCTGCAGGACGTCCAGCGCCGGCGAAACCTGCGAGCAAGTACAGCCGGGGATGCCTTGTGCACATTGCTTGATGTGCACACCAAACCTCATGATGGCAGTGAGATACTTGCACTACTCCTATCTAAAGCCCCTTGCCTCTTGTCACTCACACAGGCGAGTGTGAGCTCTGCTGTGACGGCATAAGGAGCTGTTGCGGTGAATCGCATCCTGTGTGCCTCCACATCAGCACGGTAGGCAATGACAGCCCTGTGCAGTTCCTGCGTCTCTGCACTTATGAAGTGTGCGAGTGCCTCCTTCCTGCAAGGGCAGTGCGGGGGGCTCAGGATGCCAGTGTTCTCCTTCGACATGGCTTGGTGCGATCTCAACCCTGATGATCACTCCGCCGCTGACCCACATGTGCAGCAGCTTCTTCTGCAGTGACCTCCACTCTCGCGCCACCGCTTCCACTTGGTTCTGCACACCCGCACTCAGCGCCGCGCCACTCCTCTCCAGCAGGGCCGCTGGGGGAAGGGATGCATGGACCTCAATAAATATCTGTGTGCTCCACCATGCCCATAGCAGTAACAGTACCCAATCAAGCAACCCCCGTCCCCCTTGAGGCCCCCACCTGACTCGTCGGCAAACACCAGCTGAGCTGCAATTTCCTTGGTCCTGGCCCTGACCTCTTGGCCGCAGTGCAGTGCGGCCAGGTACCGTTCTTTCCTGCTCTCCCCGGACACTGGTGGTCGGGGGGTGCACAGGCTGGCGGAGTCGAGGGACGCCTCGCCCCTGACCCCCAGCCCGGCGGCCAACTTGATGCTCTGCCGCTTCGGCCTGGCCTGCCCCAGCAGGCTGCCGGCGAGGCTGGAGCGGGTGGAGTGTGGACTGGAGGCCCCCAGGCTGGCAGCCAGGCCTGCGCTGGGTGAGTGGCTGGCGGTGCCGCGTCGCGACGTGGGCTTGATGGACGGGGACGGGGCGGGGGAGGGCTGCGCCGAGCCGGCGCCAGGCGCAGCGATGGCATCGTTCAGCACGGTGGCAGCGGATGTGATGAAGGCGCTCATGTCGGCGACGCACCTGCCCAGCTGCACTCGGTGGGAAGGGGAAGGGGGTTGACGGCTGCTTGCATGTTTGCAGATACTTTCCTGGCAGGCAAGGCGCTAGGCCAGGAGACAACTGAGTATCACGTGCGCCCCCATCACGCTTCTACAAAAAAAATCCACCTGAGTCTGCAAGTGACGGGTGAATGCATGGCTCAGCTTGCTGGCACAAGTCAGCAGGCTCTGCTTGAACAATCGCGCATCCACCCTCAACCAGCCCAGGGTCGATGTGGCCGGGAGGGCCTGAGGGGAGGTGGAGAAGACAGGGTAAGGAGCATGATTGGTGGAGGGTGAGGCACACATCAGGGTGGTGCCCTGTTCATCCCACTCACTTCCTCCAGAGTGTAAAGCCTTCCGTGTGGGCTTTCTATACCACCAACAGACAGCTATTTGTAAGGGGAGGCCACCCATCCCTTGGTCACCCGCATAAACCGCATGCTCATCCCTGAATTCTCAAAGACCAGCCCACCTGGATCTGCTCAGATAGGGCATGCAGTTGCTGAACCTTCATCTCAAAGCGTGACAAGAACCCTGCTTGATCCAGCACTTCATCGGCTGCCAAATACTCCTGCAAGTTATGATTGGGATGGAATGTTGCATGTCTGACTCATTGCATCCATCCACACACCGCAACTCTACATCATGGTAATACACCGGTCCCTGTTGTGCGACCTGCTGTCCTGCAGACCATGGCTGTGGTGCCTGAAGCCGATGCTTACCTGCAGCACGCTCTTGGGGGTCTGCTTCCAGAGGTGCTCGAATGGCGTCCATACAGCCTTCCAGGCAGTGCATGCCTCTGCGCTGGCTGTGGCGGCCAGAGTGACATCCGCGTACAGTCTCTGCACAGCTGGATGAGCTTGCAGTGCGGCATGGAAATCCCTCCCTGTTGCAGGTTGGCGGAGGAGAAGATGGGGCAGCGTGCGGGATTATTTACTGTGGAACGGCTGATATGTCTGAAGTCTATACAAGTTTCCACTCCTTGTGCAGCCTCTCCCACCATCCTCACCATCCTCCAGGCCGGGGCGAGCCATCGCCCGTCCAACCTCTAGAAAGCCCTCGAGCCAGGATGCCACCAGGGCTTGCATCGACTTCCCGCTGCAATACAGGGATGCAAAGCTCTGTTGCAAGCAGGACGAGTGAGTTTGGGGAGTGCAACGGATAATAAACACATAAATTGCCTGCCCTGGGAAGCTCTGGTGCACCGCCGAGCCTCTGCCTCGAGTGTCCACTCGTCTGACCTGGCAGTATGCATGTCAGGTTTCCAGACCAGCTGGCCTGCCTGGCACTGGAGAGTCACTTCCAGCAGAGGCCCACCCTCGCACTGCTGGCCTGCATCATGGATGCAGATGACCCCCAAAAGGCGTCGGGCGCTGGCCAGAACGACAGCAGCCAGCCCCTCCAGCATTTGTCCTGCCACATGCGCGAGATAGTCCCTCCAAGGCTGGCTCTCCCTTTTTAGAGGAATGTGTGTGTGGAGGAGGGGGGGGGAGAAGGGAGAAGGTGTCTAATTGCTGTCAAACAGGTCGCTTCTTGTACCTATTCCGCCCTATGTGCACGCTCGTAACACTCAAACTGAAGCAAACATGCATTCACATCACCTTATTATGCTCAGCGAATCAACGGCTTCCGAGAGGATGCTGACCACCGCAGAGCTGTGGAATGCAGTGTTTTCCAGCCGCATGGTCATCAGCCCCTTCATGCTTGCATCCAACTCAAGGTTTGAGAATACCTGGGAGGTACTTGGTTGGGATGGTTGGGGGGGAAGAGCATGCTTCAGCTTGTGCATGGATCCTTTTTCTCTTCCTTAAATGCGAGAATGTTGGTGCAGCTGGCTCCAGTACTCTATTATTCACCTTGCCGTCCTTCCTCTCGAACAGGGGCCGCTCCAACCAGCCATCCAAGATCTCCTGGATGCGCCCACTTGTTGCCTATTCCAGGATCAGTGTGGCGGATGTATGCAGTTAGTTTGGGGACGATGTTCTCATATGCAGTTGAGCAAGTGAAGTCAGCAGCCTTGTCCACACAACCAGAAAGGTGCACGCACAAGGTCTCAACCCCACATGTTACCTTGAGCACGCTCAAAGACTGTGAAAGGATGGTCACCGCTTCTACACACGCTGTCACACACCCACTTGTTTCCTTGGAGGACCATGTTGTCTGCAAGTTGTTACTTGGTGCAGCACGATTTGCTTGACAAATCCTAAGGCCGCACTTGGCAAGTCCATGCTGCTCTTCATCAGACACTCAAGACAAAGGAGGGCCAGCTACAGCACCCACTTCCCAGCAGTACCTGGGAGCATTGCTCGAGGCTGAGCCTGGCCCTGATTATCAGGGCATCCACAATCGCCCGCTCCTCAGGGATCATGGTGTCCTGCATGTGGTTCCAGGCATTCACGACCGACTCCAGCTGGCTTACATGCAGCTGCAGCACGCTGGCCTGAGCATGCACCTGGTGGTATAGGTGGAAAGAAGGTAATGGGGACATTGGAGGAACGGATGGCGGCAGTGGGTTGCGGTACACCATCGCATGCTGGCAGGCGCATTCAGGTCGCGGGAAGATGGGGGGAAGCGCCAGTGGACCCAGTTCATCGTCAGTACATATACTTCCAAGGCCTCACACCTGAAGGGCAGTCCCTGGTATGGAGCGGGGTAGGTCAGGTTGACCCAGAAAGGTGGCGACCTCCTGCAGCAGTTCTGAGATCCTCGGATCAAAATTAACTGCCACCTGAGTGAGGCCCTCATTGCGATGCATCCTGTGCATGTGGGGGAGGGGGGGGAGAGATGGCACAACCCCTGTGTCAGTCTTTACTATAACGGGCTTGGTCATGCCTGTCAGAGGCAGCTGCCAGATGCGTGAGGGGGGCCCAACATTGCCAGAAAGGCCCAGTAGCCCCAGGACCCAGTCTGCCCTCCCTGTGACAGCCTACCGGATCAGGGGCTGCATGAGGGAAGAGGCAGAGGTCACATCCACCTCCGCCTCCCACAGCTCCATCTGCTCCGCCTCAAACGCCTTCAGCTCCGCAAGCAGCTCGCCGTACGCCCGCTGGACCTCCCGCCCCCCCTTGCTGTTCAGGATGGCCAGAGGCAGGCTGGCCATGCCCTGGTGTCCGCCACGAATCCGCTCCTGGATGCCACGCGACCACGCCACGGCACCGGAGAAGGGAGCCATTCCAGGGCCCACAAGGGGGCAGGAGCGCTGCTCCCGGAATACCACGGCGGCCGCTCCCACTTCCTTCCCAAACATGGACACCTGCATGCCAGGTTTGTGGAGCGGGCTCGGTGAGTGTTGACCAGCGTTCCACCAGGACTCCCATGCCAGTGTTTCACGCTGACCATGGCGGTGCGGCGTCCTGCAAATAATATCCATCCCTAGCTGATACACCGCGCAAGGCCTCCCACCAGCTCCACGTAGCGATGCTGGAGCTCCTGCGCCACCGGCTCCCTGTGCAGCCACGCACTGAAGCAGCCAAGGACATGGAAGGAGGCGGCCACGGTGCCACACCCATCCAGCGCCTGGGCAGGAAGAAGGCGGCATGTGGATGCCAGCGTCGAGCTTCGTTTGAAGGGTACATGTTTACAACCAGCGACGCTGGCAAACAATGCTCCCACTCCCCTGCCCAGTGAGACCCCTCAGCAAGTCCACGTGCATCCCCTTGAGACTGACCAGGCTGATCACACAGGCCAGTCGCCGTTCCAGGTCCTGAATGACCCAGCTGCAAGAGGTCCATGCCTCCCCATACCCGGGGCAGTCAGGGTCCAGGGGGTCGCCTTCCACCTGCATCCAGGTGCGTCGGCGGCATCTGCTCTGGCCACTGGTGTGGATAGTCAGCTGAAGCAGTGAGCAGGACAGTCAGTGGGATCCCAGGCTGCCAGAAAGAAGGCTGGAGCATCTGCCACTCACCTCTTGCATAGTGGTGAGCACAGACTTGAACTCGGTCTGGATGGCATGCAGACTGGCCGTCAATTCGCGGCCCTGGAGCAGGGTAGATGCAGGAGTATAGATTCGAGATCAAGTGTTGGGATCCGAGCTCTTCCCCTGGCCCTGCAACAGACATCCACAAGCCCCCAATCAACCCCTACCAAGTCCGCCACTCCTGCACCTTGCTCCCTCCCAGCTCCAGGGTTTCCAGGCGTGCAAACCGGGCCGCCATGTTAACCAGACCAAGGACATCATGGGCCCTCTCCAGCAGCTCGTCCATGCCAGAGAAGATGGTGGCAGGAGGGAAGCGCCACATACTCGCGCCCTTTGTGGGGGTTCGACTGTGTTGAGCTGCAAGGGGTGGTGAGATATGGAGGTGAAAGGGCTGTGCACAGCTTGTTTTTGTGCTTGGCAGGTGAAAGAGTTTGAGCAAAGCTGCCCAATTGTCTGTACTTGAAGTGTTTCTCCACCATCACAACCCTCACGGGATGCCAAGCAGGAGCCACTTGCCAGATACACAGCCCCTTAACATTGACCCCCCTCCCAACCTCCCTCATTCACCTGCCATTTCCAGGTACATGCTCTTCCAGGTGCCCAGGACGTGCAGGCACAGCTCCAGCCTGCGCACCGCTTCGGGGCCTTCCAGGACCAGGATGGAGGTCCCCTCTGTCCCCTGCCTCACGCTCTCAGCGATGTCGTCTGTGACGTGCCGCAGCAGGCTCAGCATGAGGCCCGGGGCGGCGCGCAGGTCGGGGCAGTGCTGCCACATCAGGATGGCCGTGAGCATGACCGGGCGGAAGGTTTGTGGGAGGTGCTGCACCCCTGCGCCGGCGAGGGCTGCTAGCCTCGGACCAAGCGCGGCAGCGTGCCTTGCCACGGAGGCTGCCTTTGGGCAGGCCTCCCTCAACTCCGCCAGCAGCCGTTCCAGGGCCGGCAGCCGGGGGCTGGCGTTGGCGCGGAGGAGCGCCAGCGCCCGCTGCACACCGGGGCCGGCCGCCTGATCACGGAGGCCCTGCAGGGACTCCGCGCGCACGGCCCAGGCGGCCAGGAACGCGGGTGCCCTGGGCCAGCGCTGTGCGCTGGGTACCACAGGTATTGCAGCCAGGGCCTCTCGGAGCTGGCCGATCCAGGCGCCCGCCGCCTGATCCAGGGCCGCCAACAGGTCACGAGATGCGGGGGTGGGGGCGTCTGGGGCGCCATCGTAGAGCTCTGCGCTGCCCAGGTCCGGGATGACGAGGAAGGACCCCGGCTGCAGGGCGGGCTTTGCCGCATTCACTGCATGCAATCAAAGGGGGTTTAACAAGGTGTGCTTCTAGCGTCGGGCACATGCTCGGCCTGTCCTGTGGATGCACTGCCGTGAGTCAGGCCGTTCCATCACCCAGCACACCTTTCAGGACATACTGCTGCAGCGCCTGGGCAGCGGTCCTGGCAGCTGACGGGGGGATGCAGGTGCCGCCGCATGGCTTTGCTCCCGTGAGCGCCTGCCTGGCTTGGGCTTGCAGCATGGGAATGAAGACGCGGGAGGAGAGGACGGCCAGCTGCTCCTGGATGCCGCGGGATAACTCCATGGCAACCACCTGCGGTGCCAATGGCCATGGTCTGCTGACATCTGGACTGCTCAAAAGGCCTTTAGGGCAGTGACCACCAAGGCACATTGGGTCCTCCACATGGATTCCGTGGGTTGAATCATGTTGATCTAGCGCTGATGGTGCAGATAACATGACGATGCACCCACTCACATTTGAGGAGAAGGTTGCCTTGCTCAGGGGTCGCGCATGAACTTTGAGTAGGCAGAGGTGACGCGCAGAACCCTTGCCCTGATCTGGAGTCTTGAAGGTCTGGTATCAGATTGGTGATGGTTGGGCTGTCAACAAGAGGCATGAATTGGTCTAATAGTTGAACATGCGGTCCAAAACTTTGCAGGGGTCCCTGCTCCTTCTCCTTGACCCATCCTATACCATACCGCGCTCAAATCCCTGCCGTCCAGTGTCAGGATGACGGATTGAGTGCTGGGTTGAGACAGGAACGCCTGCAGGGCCGACCTGTGGGGTGAAGCAAGCCATTGTGAATATGATTGACATGGAGACCCTCTTGATGTGCCCTCCCACAGCATCCCAAGGATCGATACGCTGCCCGATGACCCACCAATTCTCGGATCTCGAGAATCGATCCCATACGTCTCCAGTGATGCCCAGCAAGCCGCAGACTTTCGTCTGGCACAGACCGATGCATTCCGACATCCCGCCGGATCCGGGGGCCGGGTCATCGAGATCTTCCATCCTCAATTTGCCTATCACAGCATGAGGCTATCAATACATCTACTTATAGCTTATTTGTGGATTGGGTGATTGCTGAATGTGCATCTGGAGTCGCATCCATGTCCCGAGAGCCATCCTTAACGGCCAAACGTCACTACAAAATTCTCCGTTTCTCGTGCACATGTACATGGCCTTCGAAACATGATGACCTCAAGCATGCGCGCACAGGTCATGCTGTTGCACAGAACACTTGTACGAATCGTGAAACTCATTTCAAAAGTCCATGGTACTCATTACCTCGTCTTGCTTGGTGAGGGCCGGTGTAGGCGCCGGCAACCTTCATGGCAGGACGCACCGATCAGGTCCGAACAAGAGTACTCAATGCACGGCGCATTCATACACATCCATGCGGCAATACGTTCTCAGCCCCTTTTCATTTCGCGAATGCCTAGGTAGCATATGTTTAACGGGACTAGGGACCCCATCTCGCGCTCGGTCGGGACGGCCGAATCATCAGGCAGTGTATGCAGGCCAGGGATTTGGCCAGACAGCGGGAAATCCCTCTCCTCAGAAAAGCAACAAAAAGGTATGTCTGGGCATGAACTGCAATTTGCATTCTTGCAATAATCGAGAGCCCTCCGTTCAGCTGATTACTCCCCTTCAACGTTGTGTCCATGGTCGTCCACCGGCCCAGGTGTCCAGACTCCAGCAGAATCTGGGTCAGAATGACGATGAGGACACGGCCTCATCAGCTCAGGAGGCGACCACACAGGACTGGATGGAGGTCCCTGACCTGGATGTTCGGTCTGCATTCCTCTCCAAGCCCATCAAGGCAGCTTCCTTGCCGGGAGGCAGAGTTCTCATGTTTTATAAGGCACGCAAAGTTAGCCCGATGTGGAGGGAAGGTTGGGCAAGCAGGTGTTTGCGCTGGGCAGGGGTGAAGTCTCACCCAGAGATACCTGGGGGCTTCACCTACCTCGTCTTCCCCGCACCCAGGTTGGTGAGACCTTCTTCTGTTCCGCAGCCAACTCCACAGCCTTCAAGTACCCTCTGGCAGATGCAAGCATAATCCAGGTATGCAAAGAGGACTGTTTATCTTGTGGCACCTTGTCCTGTTCCTTCCCCAGATCTTCAACCTGGACTTGTATTGGCCTGCTCTTTCCTCTGTACTGCTCTGCCACTCCTTGATGGTGGGGATCATTGTGCACCCCTCTCTGCGTTTTAGGTGAAAGGCAAGCCTGCTGTTGAGGTACGGCTGGATGGTACCGTGTATGACCTGGCTTCTGGCAAGGTGCGCTGATGGATATATCAGCCTTCTAGATTGGGGGGATGTGCCCATGCTATCAATGCAATCGTGCCATAGAGGGACGTCTGGTGCCCAAATTCCCAAACCCTCCTATCCCACCCCACCCACCCTTCACCATTGTCATGGCACTGCTCAGGTGCTGAGTTGGTGCCCGAAGAACAACCTGTTTCGGAAAGCCATTGGCAGTCTCAAAGACAAGCAGGATCCGATCGACCTGGAGGTGTACCCTGTCAAGCTGGCAAGCCGGGGCAGGTTGCTGGTGAAACTGTAGCCATGCAGCGACAAAAAGGCTCTGGTCCCCAATCCCCTCGCTCCATCTCTCCTGCTGGACACCTGCGCCCTCAGCAGAAGGGCAACATGGTATTGCCTGCAATGACACTACAATTGTCAGCACACCGAGATGGTGGCACTGGGGATGTATGCTGTATGGGCATGCACCACACCCAAAGGCTGCAGGGATGAAGGTCTAGGAAGATCCTGACCTGTCCCCTGAAAGCTGGTCCCCCCGCGGGCTGGCCCACTCAAGTGGCCACGGGTCTCGTTTTGGTTCACGACACCAAGCAGTCACGGATCAGCGCCTCCCAGCATGATGAGCTCCATCTCCCGCTCTGACATGGAGGTCCTGGGGACACCCTGCCCATCATCCGCAGAAGTCACGACCTCACGGTTGAGTTGCAGCCACGGGCCCTGCTTGGGTGGGGGGCTGGCTGACGCAAGGACTGTTGGGGGATGACTGCCTTCTGTCCCGCCACTACTGCTTCCTCCCTCCAGTTCTGTGGAGTGTGAGGGGAGGAGCATCACATATCTCAGGGTTTGGAGCTGCGTGACTCGGGTTTCTCATCAGACAACGAGCCTGCCTGGATGGCCATGGAGAAGCCCGCAACTGGTACACCATTCCCAGGAGAGGGGGCCCCCTTCCCGAATATCGTGACAGACCAGACCAGGCGAAAATTGAGGCCCGAATGTCCAAACACCACCCCATCTCCTCACTTTGAAGTGCTGCTTGCGCCTCGTTTGCGGGAAGGGAACTGATGACTGTGCCGTCATCAGTGCGTCGCGCAGGAAAGTGTATCGAAGGGGTACGTGACGAGCCAGACTCCCCCGCGCTGGCTGCATGCGACGCAGATGGCTCGGCGGGTGCCTTGGGCGTAGTCTCGGGCTGGTCTTGGCTGGTGGATTTTTTGGCGGGCGCTCCGGCAGCTGTGTGGACAGGATGTATGCGTGGAGGCATGAGTATTGTACCGCACATGTGAGGACGCACCAAATGGTTTTGCGCAGGGCACAGGCTGATGAGGGTGAGAGTGGCCTTGCACAGCGGTGAAGGCATGCCCATGGTGGGATCTATTGCACAAGGCCCCAAAGCCAACCATACAACGTACCAGCCTTGTCAGTGTCAATCGTTGCCACCACATGGCCGACTTCTACAGTTGCGCCCTCCTCCACCTACATAAAGAGTAGGCAAAACACTTGCCATGGTTTCAGCAAGACTCTCCCATGGGTGCCATGGTCGATGCCCTGTGGCTGCTCATGCTGTACTGTCGAGGGATGGGGGAACCTCTGCTTCCAGGCACTCGGAATCTCAACCCCCCCAGACCTCCGAGAAAGACTCCTCAGCCCTTTCTTGCAATCTTACCAGCACAGCCAGGATGACACCCGCCTGGGGGGCCCTCACATCCACGGTGACCTTGTCAGTCTCAATGGATACAATGGGCTCGTCCTCCTCCACGGTATCCCCCGCTTTCTTTAGCAATGATGCCACGGTGCCATCGCTGATGGACTCCCCCAGGGCCGGAATGGTGACCGGCAGGGAGGCCAGCGACTGTGGCGCGGTGTGAAACAGGGCGTGACGACCCCATACACCGCGCTCCGCAGAATGCAACCCAAGGTCTGCGCCGGGATTCTGCATGCCTTCCACCCTGCCCACAGCAGAGCTGGGCACCAAGCTGCGCCAGAAGGGTCGGCATGCCTGGACCAGGACCTTTGCCCCAACCCGAGTAGTCATCGCACGACCCTTCGAGGAAAGGGAAAATGGCTGGAATGCGATGCAAACTGCTTGCTGAAATACTCCACTGCGATTCTTAAATCAATCTCCATGCGAACCATGTCCTCGCGTGGTTGGTGGCGTTGGACAGAGGCAGGTGGACGTCTGCTCGTCGCACACTCCCCCAGGGCGCGAACCTTTTCCTCAATCCCCCGATCATTGATTCTCTCCCTCAATCGAGTTCTCTACTCTCACTTCGTTCGCCGTAAAGCATATGCTGCATCGTTACCCTTACATCAGCAACACCACGGCATGGGAAAAGGTGGGTTCCCACCTCAACTGCCCTGCGCAGGGCACAGCAGGGCAGGCTCCACGCCCTTTCCCCTACGCCGCCAGACGGAGCGGTCGATCAGCGGTTGGCCTTGGCCACACGCTCGATCTCGTCCTTCTTCTTGATGGCGTAGGAGTTGGAGGACCCCTTGGCGGCATTGATCAGCTCGTCGGCCAGGCACTCGGCGATGGTCTTGATGTTCCTGAACGCGGACTCGCGCGCGCCAGTGGTGATCAGCCAGATGGCCTGGTTCACGCGGCGCAGGGGGGACACATCCACCGCCTGGCGGCGCACCACACCAGCGGACCCGATGCGGGTGGCATCCTCGCGGGGGCCGCCGTTGATGATGGCCTGCACCAGCACCTGGATGGGGTTCTGGTCGGTCAGCAGGTGCACGATTTCAAAGGCGTGCTGCACGATGCGCACCGCCATCTGCTTCTTTCCGTTGTTACGGCCGTGCATCATCAGGGAGTTGGTCAGCCTATCGGTGGGTGTGGGGGAGGAGGGTGGTTGTGTACAAGGTTTGAAAGTGCACCTACTAATGTCTCACATCGGCAGAAAGAAGATTGTCAAAGTCCCAACCAGCTGGTTTGCACAGGGGCGCTACACGAGGCAGCAGCTCCGACGACTCAATCATGCCCATCACCCACCTCTCCACCACGGGGCACTGGGCCTTGCGGAAGCGGCGCTTCTGGAAGCGGCCGGCAGAGTGGGGCGTGTATCGGTCATGCTTGGCCTTCACCGCGATGTAGTCGATGAGAGACAGGTCGGTGACCTGCGGCCAGGGGAAGCGCGGGGGGCTGCTGTTCAGAAACATTCCGTCCCGAGCGCCAGGACGGACGGAGGAACCGCCCACGCTCGTCGTAGTCACAAGGGAAGAGCATATTCCCACCCCAGTCCCAGCAATCACAGTGCAGCATCAGCGTGCCGGTCCACGTCTCCCCGGCTCGATGCGCGCCTCCCAGGCCGAGGACCCTCCGTAGGTTCTCACCTCGAGCTCATTGAAAGACCACTTGCCAAAGAGCTTGACATTGGTGGCCTCCCGGACCTTCTCGACCTCCTTGGTGGTAGCCATATTGAAAGGCTCGGCAAATCAGTCCTGCCCTGCCTGCGGGGATGGCGTGAAGTGGGGGGGTGAGCCGCGCGCGGCAGCAGCGAGTCCGTATCCTGGGCTCCCCCAGCCCCTGAGCCGGGTCTCACCTGCTGCCTGGAAGAGGGCGAGTACTCCGGGCCTCCCACATCTTGTCGGGGAGGGGGTGGGGCGGCCGCCTGGACCCCGAAATTCTGTAGGCGTGCTTTCTTACTTCCATCCCACTTCCCACATGCATTCCCCACAATCCGGTCTCTAGGGAACCTCCAAACAATCTCACCACTGCACGTTGTCCACCACCATTGCACGAATAAAACCTGTAAAATCTCGTGGGCAAGGCAAGGACAACAACCTTGGTGCTCCTCCTGGCCATTTCTTGTGGCGCAGCGCTCTGATAGCCCAGACTCGGCATCCCAGCAACTCGATCCAAGGACGCCACCGGCCCCTCACTCCTTCCTTCGCTAGCTTGCATGGCAGGCATACTCTCCCTGGGGCACCAAGTACATGGATGTGGGCCGCGAAGCGTGGCCGCTTTCCAGACAGCAGGGTCTAGAAGCTCGTTGCTGTCGCCTGCCAGTCATCGGTGAGGTCGTTGCGAAAGGAGAGGGTTGGTTCAAATGAGGGTCCAATGGTCCTTATCTTCTTACATTTCCTTTCAGTCTGATTGCTGCGAAGTCTAGCGAGGCCATGGCATAAATCAGTGTGGGCGATGGCTCATGCATGGCGCTTGCTACAGGCGCCTTCAATGCTATATCTTTTGTGATGCGATTCCTGACTGGCCGGCCCTACCATTGAATGAGCTCCTGCGCCGACCCTCCCCCTACCACCCTGCAACCAGAACCTGCGGCATCCCTCACCCATTCCAACCGACCAAAGCTGCGGGGCTTGGCTCTGCCCGGCGGCACGTAAGAGGGCTCCTGGGATACAAGCGCGGCGCCAGCCAGCGCCGCGGCAGCAGCTTGGTCGTGCACGCTGAGCGCGACTTTTACGGCATCCTGGGCGTCAGCCGCGATGCGGACAAGAAGACCATAAAGAGCGCATACCGCCAGCTGGCGAGGAAGTGGCACCCGGATGTGAACAAGGAGGCAGGGGCAGAGGACAAGTTCAAGGACATCTCCGCGGCCTACGAGGTGCTGTCAGACGACAATAAGAAGAGCGTGTACGATCGATTCGGGGAGGCCGGTCTCCAGGGGGGCGGCGGCAGGCCTGGTGGTGCCGGATTTGAGAGGTGAAGGACGGGAAGGCTGGACAGGAGGTGCTGCTGATGAAGGGATGCCTCGTGTGAGAGCCAGTCTTGTGTATCCCAGTGTCAGGCATGGATCAGGCCGGCATTGCTGTGTGTGTGGTGGGGTGGGGTGGGGGGAGAAATGACAAGTAATGATACTCGAGCCATATGCTTTGGTATGCTGCAGCCCTGGTCAACTGGCTTATCCAAATTGCCATCTGTTGGTCTCACAAGCCAGTTTATGCGCTACCCCCTATCCCCCCCGCCCCCCCCTTCTCCTCCTTGCAGCAACCCCTTCGACATCTTTGAGTCGTTCTTTGGCGGCATGGGCGGCGGCAACCCCTTCTCTGACGCGTTTGGGGGTGGCGGTGGACGGGGCCAGGCTCGGGACCCGAGGGTGCCAGGGGACGACAGAGGGTGAGCAATCTGCGGCAAGGGAGTCGCATTGTATAGCAAGCCTGTCTGTGACTGGGCAAGGAAGGTGCTCTGGCTCAGGCCGGCTTACCTACCTGTTGTCCAAGAGTTGTGCCTGAATGGCGCAAGGTTCCTTGGCCCTTCAACTATCTCGCTGCCATGGCCTGCTCAGCCACCAATTCCATCTTTTGCCCCCATCCTCATCCCCACCCACCTCCGCCCACCATGCCCCAGTTTTGGGCTGCAGCTGGACTTCATGGAGGCCGTCTTCGGCTGCAACAAGGAGCTGGACATCAGCCACCTGGAGTCGTGCGGCACCTGCTCTGGCTCCGGGGTCAAGGCCGGCACCACCCCCACCACCTGCAAGACCTGCGGCGGGCAGGGCCAGGTGGTGCAGGCAGTGCGCACGCCGCTGGGCATGTTCCAGCAGGTGGCCAGCTGCCCGACCTGCGGCGGGTCGGGGCAGGAGTCGACGCCCTGCGGCACCTGCGGCGGCGACGGCCGCGTGCGCGCCAAGAAGAGGATCAGCCTGCGGGTGCCGCCAGGGATCGACTCGGGCAGCCGGCTGCGCGTGCGGGGCGAGGGAGATGCAGGGAAGAGGTGCGGCGGGGGGGAGGGGGGTGGAGAGAGCTTTTTGTTTTTTTGGGGGTGGGGTGGGGTGCGAATGGAGATGTAAGCATGAGATTGCATAGCCACTGGCAAGTGCTAGAAGTTGCCCGCTGTGTCATTTTCAGAGTGATTGCTGGTGCTTGAGACCTCAAGAATGAGGTCATGGCCATCCTCGATGGACCGTGACTGCATAGTGCAGTTCTCGGCAGCACCATGTCCATTCCCGCATGGCACCCATTTTCATGCGCCACACCACCCTCTCAACATGATTGCGTTTTGTGTGCAGACTTCCTGGCCCACTAGCTCACCCTCCAGCCCCCAAACACCCACCTCAATCCCCTCTCGACCCCTCCACAAACCGCCAGGGGTGGCGAGCCCGGGGACCTGTACGTCATGCTGACCGTCAAGGAGCACCCCACGCTGCGGCGGGAGGGCCAGACCATCCACTCCGACGTGCGCGTGCCTTACACCGACGCCATCCTGGGGGCGTCGGTCAGCGTGACCACGGTCGACGGGGACGTGGACCTGAAGGTGCCGGCGGGGACGCAGCCGGGGACCACCCTGGTCATGGCCAAGCGCGGCGTGCCCAAGCTGGGCAAGGCGGGCGTGCGAGGAGACCACCTGGTGCACGTCCAGGTCAGCATCCCCAAGACCCTGAGCGGCGAGGAGCAGCGGCTGGTGGAGCAGCTGGCGGAGCTCAGCTCCAAGGAGTCGGGCAAGAAGAGCGGGGCCAAGGCGGGGTGGTTTGGGTGAGCCCACGCGGCTCGCGGTGTGGCCTCCTGGCCACCGCTGCAGCGATATGAGCAGGCCATGCACCTCGCCCCCCCCACCATGCCTCCCAACACTCTCAGCAGCCCATGGCACTGCATTCCCAAACCCACCAATTCTTGAACTCTGCTGCACTGTGCCTCCTGGCACAGTCTGCAACGCGTGTCACGGCTGTGATTGTTGTGGAGTCAGCCAAGGTGCAATGATGACAAAGGGACTGTGGGTTGCAGGGAGGGTGTGCACTGCACAGGGCAAAGACCTGCCTGGAGATCCAACTACAAGGGGCCAGCCTCCTTTGCCTGGGAGGGTGTGCATCCACCCAGGCAGCATCGACTCCTGGCACCATGGGCTCGCACGGCACGATCTCCTCCCTTGTCATCGCCAGCCTCCATCGCCAAGGCCTGAGAAGAGGCCCCCTGCCCGGCCTCGGAGGGAGCCGCACCCCGCCAGCTCATACATGCCGAGGGCCTTGGGCAGCTCCTGTGACATGGAAGGCGGAGACACTGGTGACCGGAATTGGCAGCACTTGACCATGTTCCATGTAGAAACAAGGCAACTCCGCAGCCTGAACACCATGTGCTGAAGACGCCAGAGCACACCTCTTTGATGCGAGCCACCCGCTCGTCTGACAGGGGGTGGGTACGGAGAAACTTGGGCATGGCGGTCCCTCCCATCTTCTTCTCAGCAGCGCCCAGTTTCTGGAACACAGATGCCGCAGCGGCGGGATCGTAGCATGCCTGTGCTGCCAGCTGGTGAGGGTCAGAGGAGGCACGGTGGAAGATGGGATCCACAAAGCAGGTGGGAGGTAAAGATGGCCGAGGTTGCGGTTGATGCAGGGATACAAGGACCATGGGTCTATGGCAGCAATCACCTCGCTGCTCAACCTGGTCGCTAGTGGCATGTGCTCTCTCTCAGAAAGACAAGTCTTGTCTTTTCCAGAACCAAGTGGAAGCAGCACTCAAATAAGCCGGGTCCTTGAAGACCGCACGCAGCCTGCCATCACCTTCCTACAAGCCCACCAACCTGGATGCCAATGATGTCTGCCTCCGTCTCTGCTTTCCTGCGCAAACACGGAGAGATAGGCAGCATTAGCTCGTCGAATAAGATCTGCTCGCAAGTTGCCATGAATTAGCCAACACAATTCATTACTCAGTGGTAATCGTATACAGGGGATCCTCGCACAAAACGGACGGAGCCAGGAACCAGAGGCGGTTGATCTGCAACCTTTACAACATGCGCTCCCAAGAAGATGAACGCAGATCCCAATGGCCCACCAGGCCCTTGCCGTGCCTTGAATTGGGAAGGAAGAAAGCAGGGACGAGAAGGTCTGATGGAAGAGGGATGCCGAAGCCCCAGTAAGCTATCATCTGGATCACGCTAACCACACCACCCTGTGAATCATGGGGGCAAGGTGTGGTGATGGCCTCAGCCGTCCAATAAACTGCTGAAGGATTGGCTCTTTGGGCAGACACGCATTCACTTGGCATGCACAAGTAGCCCTACAGCCTCACAATCGGGCGGTACACAGCCTTGTGCAGCAAGATTCCTGCAGCAACAGCTTGACAATATCACCCACAGTACTGTGGCCCCCTTAGCCCCACCTGCGTCATGCGCTCAGCGGCGTGCCGAGCCAGGACGTGTGCGCACTCATGCGCCAGCACGGCGGCCAGCTCATCGTCAGAGGACACCAGCCCGAGCAGGCCTGAGTGTTGGGGGATTGGGTGAGGCACAATCAGTTTCTGAGTGGGAAGACTGGTGGTGCTCGAGCTACCGAGAGATTGCAGAGATCTCTCCAGTGAAGAAGACAAGCGCAGGCAAGAGGCATGTGCACATGTGAATAATTGTGGACTTGGACTGCATCACCCTCACCGCAGTCTGAGTGCGTTATGTCAG